CCTGCTGCTCTCCTCAGCAGTGTATTTCATCACTATGCCTGTTCTGTTCCCCGCTCTGGCTCTGGTGAATTCTCTCACCCTCCTGCACTTCTGACTATACCCAGTGCTTGTGTAAATAAATAAATAAATCTTAAAAAAAAAATGCCTAATAGCCAATGAAATCCTTACAAAATAGTGGGAGAACTGTGGAATCACAAATCCAGATCTCAAGCAAAATTATAAGGCCGTGATAATTAAAACAGCATTTACTGAGTGGCGGGGTAGGGTGGGGGGAATCACACACACAGTAGATGGAAAAGAATAGAGAACACATATATTAATCCCTACCTATATGAACATTTAATCTACAACAAAACAGCCAACAGGAGCCAGAGGAGCCAACAGGAGCAAGGAAAACCTCTTCAATAAGTGGTGCTGGGAAAACTGGCCAGCCACATGCAAAAGAATGAAATTAGATCACTATCTCACACCATAGAACAAAAATTAAATCAAAATCAAATCAAAATAGATAAAAGATTTGGACATAGAACTCGAAGCCATAAAATACAAGGAAGAAAATGTAAGTCTCAGGTCCTATGTTTCAGGAATATTGGTGCCGATTTGTCTCCTTCAGCAAAGATAACAAAGAAGAACATAAAAAAAAATGGGACTATATCAAACTAAAAACTTCTGCATATCAAATCAAGCTATATTCAGGACCAAAAGACACCCCACTTAATGGGGAAAGTATTTGCACACCATATATCTGGCAAGGGGCTCATATCACAGGTCTACAAGGAACTCATATAACTCAACCACGGGAAAATAAATAACAAAATAAAAGAGGGCAGAAGAGCTAAATAGCCCCTTGTCTACAGAAGACATAAATACGGCTAACAGCCACAAGAAAAAACAAATGCTCATTATCATTTATCATCAGGAAAATGAAATCAAAACCGCAATGAGATTCTATCTCATGCCTCTGGTTATAAAAAGCAGAAGCAACAGTGTGATCAAGGGTGTGGAGAAAAGTAACCTTCATACATTGTTGCTGGGAATGTACACTGGTCAGCATGGAAGTTTCTCAGAATATTAAAAATGGATCTACCATATGTCTTAGCAATTCTACTCCCAGATATCTACTCAAAGAATACAAAAGCACTTATTCTAAGAATTATATGCATTCCTATATTCATTTCAGCACTATTTACTATAGCCATACTGTGGAAAAAACTTAAGTGCTCAAGGACAGATGAGAGGATTTAGAAGATGTGGTGTGTATACATACACAATAGAATACTTCTTAGCTATAAAAAAAGATAATCTCTTGGCATTTCTGGCAACATGAATGGAGTTGGATGGGATTACGCTAAGTGAAATTAGTCATAAAGAGAAAGACAAATAATTAATTGTGTTACTTATGTGTGAAATATAGAGAAACAAACAAACCAACAATAAATCCTGGAAATCTGATTGCACAATGGGGGTTTCCAGAGAAGGAAGGGGAGAAAAAAATGGCGAGGGTACATGATGGATTATGGTGGAGTACTATATTTGTTTTGGTGTATGTATGGTGTGGTAACAACTTGTGAACGGGGATCCTATAAGTCTAAATCATGTACAGCATTGAAAACCAATGCTACTTAAAAAAAGATTTATCGTTTTATAGCAGAGTTGTATTCCATTGTGCATAGGCATTACTTCTTCCCAACCTACGCATTTGTCATTGGACACTAACATTGTTTATTTTTTTTTCTTTTCTAAGTTAAAAGAAAATATTTACAAAATATTATGTATCTTGTGATAAATTTGAAAGATAAATCTTACATATTTCTCTTTTTCCTTCAATTCCCCTCTGCCACTTCTCACAACCCTTCATACCTACCCTCACCTAGCCATCTCTGACTGAGCTTTGAAGGAAATAATTACATCTACACATTTAACAGTGGCTATTTTTAGATACTGGTTGTTTCGGCGATTTCATTTTCAATATTTGCTAAATTTCTATACATAGCATGTATTTACTTTAAACTTTTTGAAAAATAATAACATTTGGTTAATAAATAGGTCTCCTACAGCAATAGGCCAAAAATACTGTTTCAAAACACACTGATTCATCTTACTCTAATCAGGCCTTAACTTACCCTTAACTTTTAGGCCATAACCTTTAGACCTTAACCTTTACAGTCAAACTGCATCAACAAATTGTTATGGGGACAGGTCTATGAGGAATTAAAATGAAGGCAATCACTATTCTGGAATATGCATTCTGGGGATGGTTAAATGCAGTAAATAGCAAGTCTAATATAATATATAATGTCACTTTCTAGGATAAAAATAGTGGTGCATTTCCTCTCCCACATGTGTCTCAAGAGCTGTTAATAAGACCCAATATATTTTGTTTATATATCAATTTATTAGGGGAAATTTTCATCTATATTAATACTTAATCAACTTCATATAGTTAAAAGTTCCAGATAAAGCCCACCAGACTCATTGCTATTCCTACCATTTCTCTGGAGAATTTAGTTTTGTCATACAGGTACATAGAATGAATAGAAGTTTTTCTTTTTTTCCCTTTAATTCTTCATTTGTTTCAAAATAAAATATAGGTCCAAATAAAATACATGTTGCCAAGTCATAACCTGAAGGAAGATTTTCCTGTCCTGCTGGGAAGCACAGTATGAGGCCCTGATATTCACAATGATGAGGGCAGCAGCCTTACTTTTGTTTGATCACTTTTTAAAAAAAGATTTATATATTTTTATACAAGAGCTGGGGTACAGGCCAGAGGCACAGGAGGGTGAGAGGATTCACCAGAGACAGAGCGGGGAGCAGAACAGGCAGACTGACAGGGTACACTGCTGAGGGGAGCAGCCGGTGCAACAGGAGAAGTCTGCATCACCATGTGGGAATCTCCCTGGCCGTCTAGGATCGAACCCTTGCTGCAGAGGCTGCGGACAGCCTCACAGCGCTGCGCTCAACCCGCTGCACCACCAGGGAGGCCCTGTTTGATCACTTTTATAAATATTTTGAGTTGTGTTTAGGAACATTAAGAGTTGAACAGATGGATGAAGAAAAAAGGGTTATAAGGATATGGGGAAAAGGTGAAAATACAAACAAACAGGAAGAGCAAAGACATGAAAATGGGAACAAGTATGGTGATTGCAGTGGGGAGTCAACAACGATTATGCAAGGGATGTTAGTTCCAGGGAGCAATAGGTAAGTCTATAAGGATAGTGTAGGGATGGATTATGATGGGAGCTCCTTAGAAACATAACTTTGATTTGGTTTGATAGTCAGTGCAGAGCCATCTTAAGTATTTCAACCTACATTGTCTTTAGTGACTTATGAAATGATGTATTAGGAAGAAAAAGAACAATTATTGTGTACATTCTTGGTTCCAGGCAGTATGTTACAACGATAGTTAGATGGTAAGAAGGTGGTCTTCTGAAGTTTGTTGGATTTGAGGTCTAATTCTGACTCTGGGAAAATTGCTTATTTTTTGAGCCTGTTTGTCTTTATTTTTTTTAGTTAGGGACAATTTATATTTGAAAAAATATTCAAAAATTTACCACATAACTTCTGAATCAGGGACTGATAGCTGATATATTTGAATCATCTGCTTATACTGATATAGTGAATTGGATATTTGGCACATATCCACTCTATTTCTACTGTGCAGGGCAAAGAATGAACTATCGCTTCATATAAACTCAGGGTGAGTGGATATGTAAACTACTCGACATATGTATGCAAATTGCATTAGTGAATGACAGCTGGAAAAAGGAAAATAAGCAGAACGATGATTTTGGAGCAACAACATTTTTCATGCCTTTGAGAACTATTCATTTGTGCCATTTTCAGAATTGTTAACATGGAATTCATATTTCTGGCTATTTTCCCTTCGTTAGAAAAGAACTTATAAAATCTTCTCACAGAGTCTCAGTTTCTTCATCTGTTAAGTTGATGTAGTAACACCCACTTCTTCAGGTTGTTGTATGGATCACATGTAATCTTGGATTTGATGTTTAGGATAGATTGGAGAAGAGAGAACTTGTGAACAGGGAATAGTGAGGAAGTTATGACAATTATTGGATCTCAACAAAGGTGATACATCACTAGAATGGAAAGGGAAGACAAACTACAAAGGAAAAGTAAAGAAATAGCACAGGTGACTGATACATCTTGCAAGTTCCTTATTTCTGCTCTTTTGACATAACCAGGGGATTTAAAATTATACCCTGAAGTATATGGTCACTCTCTGGACATTAACAATTGTTTGCTCATTTCCCTAGAGTTGCAAATAACTATTTGTGCTCTCTGCTCACCATTTAAACATCTGCAACATAATTGCTCCACACTGCCTTTTCTCAAACAGTTTAAAAGCAAACAAAAGTCATTCACTTTCTTACACTATATTTAATTTTTTTTATTTATTAGAACTTACTTTAAGTTATTTTGCAATTTCTTCCTCCATTCTTGAGTTTGCCAATCAGTCTTCCTGTGAAACAGCACAGGAGTAGGGTTCCGTATCTTTACAAAAAGTAAAACTCAAAAAGAAAATCAATCTTGCCATTTTTGGGCTTAGAGAAACCTGAAACTTTTCTTAAACCTTCAGTGTCATTGTTCAAAAGCTCAGTTTCTGCTACCAGCTAACATCAGAACAATCACTACATAATAGGAGTCTTATTGTGCTCAAGGCTTTGAAGGCATAGATTTTCTTACTAATGTCTAAACTGAACATAGAGCTTCCTCCTTCAAAGAACTGCCTTCATATTTGCATGCACTTCTAAGCAGGAAGTTTTATGCACAACTTTTGCTCTCCGCGGGGGAGGGGTGAATCTAATTCGAATCTAATTCAATACTTCTTTTTAATTTTTCTTTCTCCTCTCCCTCTTCTCGGGAGGGAATGGTCAAAAATAAATGTTTCAACAGATCTCGCGGTGCTATTCGAGATTCCCTATTTAAAAAAAAAAATAGAAATGTTGCAAAGGAGTCTTAGCCTTCCGGGGTTTGGGGCTGGGACTGCAGCGCTGGGAGCCCAGAGAAAGCCGCCAAGCGAGGGGGCGGGGCTCTGGCGAGTTCCCCTTCCACCTTCCCCCACTCTTCTCTTCCAACCTCTGTTTGGCCCTAGTTGGATTCCAGCCTTCGCTGCAGCTGCTCCCCAGCGATTTGCAGGAACCAAACAACTGCAGCCGCTGTTCTCACGATGGTGATCCGTGTGTATATTGCATCTTCCTCTGGCTCAACGGCGGTAAGGAGGGTGGAGTGTCCACCTTTATTGTTTTCCTACACACCAGTCTCCTGCTGCCACAGAACCGTTAAATTGCAGAAGTTCGTCTAGCAGCTTCTCATTCGGAAGACACATGCATCTCACAGGCTCTCACTCTCCCCCATTTTCACTTTCTTTCTTTCTTTTGTTGCATCGATTTCATTTACCCATGGAAGTTAGCTTTGTTTGCCTTATAAGGTTAGGATATATTTCTTCTTTGAAGGAAAAAGAAAGCTACCGAGTTTTGGCACATGAGACATAGTGGTATAGGGTCTTCAGCATCTTCATCAGGTGAAGAAGTCAAGTAAAATTACACATGGGTGAGTTTCTAGAGTGAGGTATTTGGCATATGTTTCCTAGGTACCAAAGCAAGGGGCAGGAGTGCATATTCATAAAGGATGGAGGTACACATGCTCTAACTAATGACGACTGAGTGGCGATCTACTGAAACATTGTGATTATTTTCAGAGTGACCCCCTGCAACTCATTTTGAGAGTTTATATGAAAGGGTATTTAGCTTCAGCTTAAAGGTCTTTTAAAACTATACAGAAATGGAGGGGAAATGATACAAAGTTGTGTGTCTGTTACAATGGATCTGATTTTTTTTCCTCCTATATTTTCTCTCATTTTGACTTATTTTTCTTTTATTCTTTCAAAATATTTTACTTCTAAAAATTTGTAATTGTCTTAAGAACTGGAAAGGGAACTAAAAGTGGCTTCTGGGGTAGTGGCATACTCAAATTGCTCTGCTTCAAATTATAGGACATTTCACCTACTGGATTCACACTCTTTATTTAGAATAACAGTTTTTCCAGCAGCTGTGGAGATAAACTGGGGTGAAAACTGAGGGTACATCCATGATAAAAGTGAAAATATACTATTTTTCACAACTTAAGGGAAAAGCCACCAGTTGGCAACAGCAGATGTGTGAATTTGGAATGTAAGATTTAGTAACTCCGTCTTTTCTGAGCTTTAGAGCAGAATATTTTCTCTGGTTTTGTTTTGATTATTTACCTCTTAAGAGGGTTTGTTATAGGACTGAAGGTTATGTGAACTCACAAGAATCTTGAACCTTGAACTTTGCCTTCTATGGCCACCAAGTGTGTTTAGACGGTTTTGAAATAGAATACGTAAGCTTACATTTTTTTTTTTTTTAGCAAGTTTAGGTTCAAAAAAAAATTTTTTTAGGTTTCCTCTGAACCCCACTTTGTGAATTTCTTGCCTTATTATTTTCCAAGGATATTAATTCTGATATTTCAAAGTATTTGAGTTACTCAGAACCTCAAGTACAGTACAATAATTATAAATTGTAAATTTTTAAAGACCAGCTCAAGACTTTTAGCTAAACTCCTAATTAGAGTGAACAGATCAGGAAGGTACTTTTACTTTTGTGATATGCAGTTTTAATACTGCTGTTTATTCTTTTCTTTCTTGCTCTCACCCCTTCCCAAATCGCAGATTCAAGTACAAAAACCTTTCAGAATTTCTATTCATATAAGAGCAGCTGTACCTCTCTTTGTTAGTACTTAAATTTCTTTAAAATGACTGCTATCTTCTATTATTTCAATTGTTAGACACCATTCTTGAAGACTATGCAAATAGGAAATATTTATACTATGTGTGTTTTAATTTTTCTTATATATGATAGGGATTTTTTTTGTTGATGCAGTAATTATAGTTCTTATTAGCCTGTTATAAAAATCTACTCCATATTACCAAAATAAATCCTTGTTCTATTATAATTTACAGTACTTTTAAATAGTACTAAAATAGTACTCATTATGTACTTCAGATAGAGCTTCTTTATAACATAAATCAGGACTCTCCAATTTGCAATACCTTTATAATGCTACCAGGTTGTTTTTAACACACAATTCCAGAAATTTTGGGACAAAAATCCAGACAAAAACCCAGCAGCTATGTAAAGTGATATATTCTTATATGTGATTAAGTGTAGTTCTCTGAAGAACATTAAAAAAAAAAACTTTTGGTTTTGGATTAGAATTTCTGACTGTTCTCTGACTCTATTTGCCATATAAATAGCCAATATTAGCTATTTTATTGGAGAGGGGAATATCTATGATAATTTCAAGTCAATATTAATTTATTCTGTCCTTAATCCAAGATTCTCTTTCCCTCATAGCCTGATTAGAAAAAATTTTCAAACTTGTACTCAACTCTACCTCAATACAGAAGAGTAGCACTTGCTTTTTAGAAATGAAAGCAAGTATGTTGATTTTTGCAGTCGACTTTGATAGTAGCCATTATAATGATAGTTAATAGGAACACTTAAGTGTGTTAAGTACATCTCATTTTTTCATGAAAATGTCTAGTCCTGTGACTTAGGTTCTGTGATTATCTCTACTTTTTTTTTTTAAGATTTATTTACTTATGCATACAAGAGCTGGGGTACAGGTCAGAGATGCAGGGGTTGAGAGGATCCACCAGAGACAGAGTGGAGAACAGAACAGGCAGACTGACTGAAATACACTGCTGAGGGGAGTAGCGGGCAAGACAGGAGAGGTCTGTCTTGCCATGTGGGTTTCTCCCTGGGCAGCCAGGGATCGAACTTGTGCTGCAGAGGCTGTGGATTGCTTCATAGTGCAGTGCTTAACCCCTTGTGCTACCAGGGAGGCCCGATTATCTCTACTTTTAAGGTAAGGAAATAGAGGTTCTGAGAGGTAAAACAACTTTCTCACAACTAGTACGCTTTCTCAAGGTCACACAACTAGTAAGCCACAGAATTTGAATCCAGTGCAAGATGTTTGAATCCAATAATGTATCTTTAATCACCAAGAAGACATTCTCCCAGTGAGACATGACAGCTAGGAGGCATGAGGCGATAAATGTGAACATGAGGAGAGAGGTACAGAAAGGAGTAAGTCCTATATGTGGAAGAATAGCCTGAGCATGTACATATATGGGAGTAGAAATAAGGCTGTGTGGAGGATGGCTAGAATGTCTAAAGGTGAATGTCAGTAAGTGTGGTAAATGACTATTCACTTAAGGTCAAGGAGATAGAGGGGTGCACATTTGGAACTGGTCTCTTATAGGTCAAGTTATGAAAATTCAGGTCCTAATATTGTTTCTTTTTATGAAAACCATTTAGTAAGAATGCAACTTTCCAGTTGCCTATCTATGGGAAATGATTTCTCACTGTTCAGAACTGTTCATGCATGTCTTAACCTGCTGTAACACAGTATTCATTGTCATGTTTTTTTTTTTTCCTTGAGACTGTAATGCCCTGTACACTTACATTTAACTGGAAAGAAATCGTGGGCACATAGCCTATAAAACTTAATACATTTCATAAACTTTTAACAAAAATCAGTGTTGGCCTTTGAATTACTGGAGTGATCATAGTTTGGAGAATTTTGCTGGTTTGGGAGTGTTCTCACCATTTTTCTTTCCATTAAATCCTTGATAGTATCCATTTCATGGCCTCTATACATTTTAGGTGTGTTAGATAGACAAGATTGTGGTTGATATATGGCTTCTGAGGGTTCTTTTTATGGAATAGCTCTGTAAAATGATTGTTTTTATGTTGAAACATAAATTAGTTGCTGCAGTTTCACTTTTTGTGATTTCAGTTACCTGGTCAATCACTGTCCAGAAATATTATGTACTAGAAGATATTGAGAGAGAGAGAGATATGCCACATTAAGATAACTTTTATTACAGTGTAATTGTTCAATTTTATAATTGTTTAATATTATACTTAATTTATAAATTAAACTCTATCATACATATGTATGCATAGCAACTATTTGGTTTGGTACTATTTGAGATTTCAAGTGTTCACTGAGAGTCTTGGAACATATCTCTCAAGGGTAAGAGGGAGGGAACTGTGTGTCTACATTATTTTCCTCTGTGGCACAAGTTATAAAAACAAGTGAAGAAAATGAACACTCATTGCCAAATCACAAGTTACTAGCCACAGTGTTTTCTTCATTTGGAGAATATGAATTAGAAAAACAAGTTACAGTACTTCATTTATATGATTCTCCAGTAGTTGCATTATAAGTGATAGTATTTTGCTGCTTTGTATTTTTAAATTGAAAAATAATCTGATGAACGCTATGGTGTTTGTTACAGCTGCCAAGGTTTGTTTGAATACTATTTTAAGATTTTAAACTACTTAGCAGAGTAAATTAGAAACTATTCTTGAGGTGACAGGATGTGGGTTTTTTTTCATGTCAAGTATAGTGGAAAATGGCAGCTTTTACTTCAACTCGGAGTCCTGTATCTGATGACTGATTTCCTAAATGTCACAGCAACAGTGGCAAAGCCAATGGAATAATTTGGCCCAATTTAAAGAGGCTTGGGAAACACAGTTATAGATGTGATAATTTTTGGTCATTTAAAAAATATACTTAAATGGTTGTAGGAAAGAATATATTTGGGTGATTAGTAAAGTAATCAGAATCTGGTAATCGAGAAAGATAAAATGGATTTTCTGGCTACAGACTATTCATTTTAGGAAGGTTTTGGATACAATAAGGTCAGTCATCCTCCTGGGTTGGCATAAAAAAATAAATTGAAGCACTGGATAAAATCAGGTCAAATGTTTTAATGATATGTAGTTAATTTCTAAAATACATATTGTATAATCAAACATATATCTTTTAAAGGAGTATTTTCTTCTTTAATTGAATTTCAAGGGTGAAATGTTGTATTTCATTTCTTACTGATAAAATTAAACATATTGAAACAAACCGTAGAATTGAGGCTACCAGGGAGGGAGACTGGGGTGGTGGAGATCATTGGGAGGTGTGGTGTGAGGGGATGAGGGGGAAGCTTAATGAACTTTGGTGGGGGTTATGAGTACTTTGGTGATACACTTTAGTTAAGTGGTATGAACCTGTACTCCGAAAACATATACAGTGTTGTAAGCCACTGTTACCACCCCCCCACACACACAAAATGATAGGAATACAAAAGAAATAAGCATTTTGGGATTCTGTTTGTAACTATCTGACTAT